TTTCTTTCAAAAGTAATAGGATTCTGAGCTTATTTCATACTTGGTAAAAGTGCATGTAACATTTCAGAAAACATTTAAACATCAACATAAATCTGTGAGAAAGTTGAAATTTCACTAAAACTTCACAAAGCCATTTTGTCCCTTGGGTTGGAGGCTACATTCTTAATGGTGGACAGAAGAAGACTCAAAAGGATTTTTGGTTTGGCATTTAGGCCAGCAAGTTTGCTTAGCAACAAAAGCAAAGGCCTAAGTTTCCAGGGTCGACAGCTGAGGCAGTTTAGCCAGGTAATACGCCAACTCTATACTTCCTTCCAGTAAACGCAATGCAAGATAATAGACCTTGCTTGTTTTCCCTGAGAGAGGGTTGTCAAGTGTCGAGACGTTTAACAAAGAGTCAATGGAAAACCACCTCTATTTGACTAAACCCCCTAGTGGGAGTAGACCATTTCCCTTTCCACAAGGTCCTTGCTAAGCTTACTGAAAGGAACGATTTTGAATCATTTTGCGAAGTCATGAAACCTTCCTCAATGTCCTTAAAATAGACTGTTTCTTGATTTATTAGATTGAAAAATCATCTTGTAAGGTATACCATTTTACCTGTGTCTAACCATATAACATTACGTCTTTTAAAAACGTCATATCTATACAAATATAATTTATTGCTCTAATACATCTCTGGAATTTGTAGCACATTAATCAACTTTCCATCCCATTTATCACACTTAATGATGTAGCGCTTTGCCTGTAGCGTGTTAAATCCCTAACGTGAGTCTATTCATGGGTTATTCATTGATAACATGAGGAAGAGCTCTACACATTCTAAGTCCAGAAACACATGGTGTTTGGTCACATTTTGCTACTTCAAATTAATCAATGTTTTCCTGTGAATTTGCAAGAATCTAGCCTGGCTCGAACCTCTAGCCATGAAAGCTTATGAATTTACCATTCCTTCTAAAAATAGGTGGGGATTCTTTCCATTCCAGCTTGCTCCTCATGAGCGAGGTGCTTGTACCGAGACTGGCTGTTACCTGACTGAACAAGCCTGAAATCCTGCACACGTTCTTAGAGACTGTCGAAGAAGTATAACTGAACCACTTTTGAAAATTACCTTGTTTTTCAGAGTGTGAATTTAACAAAGTTCCATAAACTCTTCTAGCATGTCTAGTGCCATGGTGAATGGATAATGACGAAGTGGTTTATTTATAACTTTTTCATCAATATTCTAGTTATGTCAAGGTGCCCCTCTTGTCTAGGTGAACCTCCTGACAGAGTGGATTGGAGTGGAGTTGAGTGGAGTGGAGTGGAGTGGAGTGTTGGAGCGGATTGTGCTGTGTTGTGCGTGGGTGGGTGGGTAGGTGTTTGTGAATATGGGTGGAGGCATGTATGGGTGAGTGTATGGGCATACTGTGGGTACCTGCTACACAGAAACTACAACCTATGTGATGCATAGCACACAAGCCATTATGATCTGACAGCACTATCATCCCTGATGGTGTGAGGCTGGTTTGCAGCCATGACGTCAGTACCGTCACTTGGTAATGGAAGAAATCAGATCACATTAAATCCGCTTTTACCAGTACAGCATACGTAATGCAAGAGGATGTGTAGAGGTCATTAACCAGGGTTATGTTGGAATCCTGCAAATTACATTAGATTTCATAAAAATACTCCTAATAATATTTATTGATGAGTCACATTTGAGTCAACATGTTTTCATCAGTCATTTCTCATTAAGTTACTACAAAAATATCCAAACAACTATAACAGAAACTGTTTATTTTTATCACAACAGTTCAATCAAAATGTTACTTCTTGTTATCAATATCTAGACTAAACAATAACCTGTCAAGTAATATTGTCAAAAATGTGAAACTTACGAATTAATGTTCACAAACAAACATATGAATGTGGCAATTATTCAATCAGAGTTGTGGTCAAAGGGTCCTGCAACAAACATCCCAACTATTTTCCCAGAAAATATATTATTGTGGCCTGCCCACAGGGATTGAAATTCACCACCAACGTCTACTAGCCCAAACAGTGATGATAACCCCTTCAAATGTTTGAAATTCAACTAGCCCTAAGGATACCTTTACCATCAACAAAACTGGTTTAGGCTAGTAGCCTAGTAGGCTAATGCTAATTTCCATCCCTGGTCCAAGACCAAAGTTCTTGGAATTGACAGTTCGCACAACATGATATGGAGTGTAAGAAAATGAAGGTAGGTACTGGAGTCCATCAGGCTTTTATCTACAGTATTTGACTCAAGGGCACACAAATCATTACATTAAACATTAGGATTTCAACAAAGACTACTTGATTTTCATGCTTAATTTTAAACACTGGAAAAAAAATACACTGGCCTGAGGCCTGATGCTCTGTCTTGTCATTAGAAAAGAGTTCAAATTTAGAAGTCAGACATTTAATCATTTCCCATAATCTGACAGAAATTAAGATGAATATCGTGACAAGAAAACCATTTACTGCACTGCCACATCATTCCTGCCATTTTAAACTTCACATTACTTTCTATCATGGACAAAATTCTTGTATGGGACAAGGGAATTATTAAAATCTAAATATTTTTTACAGTAAATGCATTAAGGAGTGATGCAGGATAAGTTACAAAATTGATCCTCTTTGGAATCACATTTAATTAACACGCTGATATCAGCCATGTCAGTTGCTTGGGACATGGCATCTTCCCGAGGCAAGGGAGTTAACTGACTGTAAAAGTCATGTTTCCACTCTTGCTGAACTAGGCTGGAATTCCTGGGCTCGATCTTAGCGCCACCAGTTGTTATTACAGGTAATGTCCCTATAAGCCTCTCCTATGGACCAATCAGATTCCACCTCTCGCATCACTTCATTTGTTTCACACAAAATGGCGGCACCAAGTCAAGACGATCTGATCAATAATCAAGATCTATAGTGTGATAACACGGGTCTTACCTCCCGAAGTGCATCAAATCACGTGAGCACCTTGATTAAAAACGCAAAAAGACTTGGAAAATAATTGTTGACAATGAGTTGGCGGTGCACATCGACCGAAATCTGCAGAGTTTACAAACCGGATTTCAATTTCGTTGCGCGATTTTGATTGGACTATGCATAGACTCGTTAGTCCAGCCAAAATGTAACTCCATAATACCAGCCTAGTTCGGTTAACTCCCTTGCCTCGGGAAGTAGGAGACATGGAACCTTGTCTTAAAGCTGATTATTCCGCTGAAAATCCATGCAGTCAAACTTTATCACATGTGCAACTCTATCCTGTATCAAGTTCAAATTTATAATAACCTTTAGTCTGTCATACAGATCCCAAAACAAACATGTAAGGCTATAATAGTTAGCAAGTCTAGGTTACCATGATTACTGCAGTTGAAAATTGATAGAGTTTGTGGACTTTTTTTCATTAGATCTTATTAACATGTTTTTTCTGTAAACTATTTTCAATTTAGAGACTAGATGTTAGTTTAAATATCAAGTGGGATATCGTTAATGCCAATGTGGGGATATTTGCCAATATTTGCTGCAGATGTAGGGCTAAACAAGATAGGACTCTGAGAATGTCTAGATATATCCCTGAAGGGTTTAGCAATCATCATATCCTTGTATCCTACACAGTTATGTATGTTTGCAACAGTGTCAGATGTCAATCTGTCAGCGAGGAGGGAAATTGAGTGTCATTGATTTCTGAATAAACATATATACATTACAACAGGACATCCGTGACATCAGCTGCCGTGACATCCCGCAGCTATGTGAAACACCTCAAAGGGCCAGACAACAGACAAAATAAAAATAAAGATGGATTCATTCACAGGTGGAATGAATGAAAAGTTTTACGAGGCATCAGCAGATTTCCAGCTATTCGCAGTCATTCATAGGTGGAACAACTTAATTCTTTTCTGCACTCAATCTAATGACAAATGGTATTTTGAACATCATGCAATCCTCATTTTCTCTGCATGTCAGGAAAAATACCGAAAATGAATGGCCCAAATTCAAAATATTGAGTGTAGTCTTTCATTTTGTTTTTAACTATGGCAGTCAGCAAATTTTGAGCCGCATCATGGCAGCCTGTAAATAACGGAGTCCGGACGAGGCCAAGCAGTGGCTGATAGCCTGAGTATCCACATCATCATCAGGGCACGATGACCTGCAATCACCAAGTCACATCTCCTCATCCCCATTTTAGTCAGCTCTAAATTCTAATGATATAATAAAACAATAGCGATCTATTCTCATCCAGAATATTCACAGGGTATACAGGGTAGGAAGTAAATGATTCACAAAATCTATACCACTCAAAAGAAGTAAAAGAACACCCAAATTTTTCATATGATAATAGTTTGGCCATGACAAATTAATTAGTCATATGAAAAAACTTGTGTGTTAACTTTTTTTGAGTAGGACATTTTCAAGCTGGTTGAACTGACGCATATTCAACCAGGCACTATCATGATACACTCAAACATAAATGCCTGGGAATGTACTGTATCTGTTTTGGTTGCAAGACAGAAATTGATTTCTGATATCCATTAATCAACCAAGTATAAAAACAGCTGGTCTGCAGACAGTGCTGAAAACAAGTCAGAAAATGGAATCTGCCCTACCAATGAGTATGTTATTACATTAATAATGGACAATGGAAACACATTCAGCAAAACCTGATGAAAATGTGCCTCTATTAGAACAACCATTGGACTAGTAGAGATGACTCCCATATAAGCTAAAGCTGCTGTTGACATCTAGGACTAGTCTAATGCTAATGCCGCTGTAGACAACCGGGAGGACCCAGGTCAAAATACTTCCCCAGTGCTCTCTAGCTTGTAGATATAAGCATATTGAATCAGATCAGGCTCAGTAGTTTAGCTGATTGCGTTTGATCATACACAAATAGGGTAGGATGTTGCTCGTAATTAGTATAGTCAAGACTGTGACATAGCTATAATACTGATGATTTGGCGTAAAACAACAAACACTGTAAGTTCACTTACCTGTAATAGCGAGACTGGAGGTATGTTGAGCACACAGCCTTCGAGACATGGCTTGCTGAACCAAAGTCAATGACCTTGACCCTATAAGGGAATCGCACAGGGTCCACCAACATGATATTCTCTGGCTTGAGGTCGGCATGGATCAAGCCAAGTAGTTTAAGCTTGAGTAATGCAGTCAGCACCTGGGATGTGATTGGACGGATATACTTTAATGGCAATGGCTGAAACTTGTTCTGTTTGAGAAAGTCATAGAGGTTCTGCTCCAGCATTTCAAACACCAGACACGTGTGGTTCTTGTGCTGGAAGCACTCGTACGCTCGTACAAAATTAAACTCATCTGCACTTTCTTGACTTAGCCGCGACAAGATGCTAACTTCAATTTGACCCTGCCGTGCATAGGAGGGGTGGTTCTTCAAAATCTTGATTGCCACGATCTCATTGGTCCCTTTTTTCCAGCATTTGACAACCTGCCCAAAGGTCCCCCGGCCAAGAAACTCGAGGACCTCATAGGCAGTTGTCATAGAATAGAGGACCTCATGCTGAACAAGTTGATAGTCCCCCTCACTCCCCGAAGAACTTGTGTTCTTCGAGGTCGTGGTGGTTGCTGTATTTGCTGCTGTCTTGGCCGTCGTCTTTGTCGAACTGTCATCCTCACTTGATACAGCGTGTACTTCGGTTAACTGCATGGGGACGTCTACTTCATCACTTTTACGTTTAACGCCACATCTTTGAAACGAGGGATCCACGACTCGGATGGTTGAGGTTCTGATATAATTTTGTGGCATGCTACTACTACTACTACCTTGTGTAATGTTTGAGAGCTCCAGGCCATGTTGTGGTAGCACATACGCAGTAGTGTGGCGTGTGTTCGCTGTGCTGGGAATATTCCTTTGTCTCGGGGTGGACCCAGAGGAACCACTCACATGGTCGTCTTCCAACACAACTTCCAACTTTATCTTCTTACAATTGTTGAATGCACTCAGTGTTGTCTTGTAGTTTCCGAGGTCCTCTTGCATCAGTGCTTAAAAAAATCTGAAATAGACAACAACAAAGTAGCATAAGTAATTGGTCTTATATTGACATATATTTATTATTAGAAGACATTTCTACATTTTGGCTGGATTAATGTGTCTATGCTTAGTCCAACCCAAATCGTGTAATGAAATTAACATCCGGTTTGTAAATTGTCAAGCAGATTTTGGTCAAATGCGGGATTTGCAAAGCATGTGTACTGCCAACTCGGCGTCAACAAATATGTTCAAAAATCTTTTCATCTTTTTAATCAATGTGCTCACATGATTGGATGTTAGTTGTTTTGAAACGTATCTCTGGGACATTATCGAGGTGATTCAATACAAGTATTTCATAAGCACACTTGTCATGTTAAAGAGCTCTATCTTCCTCAAAGGAAATACTGGAGAACAATTGGTCGTTTTCAACACTGCACTTAGCAATATTCCAGCAATATGATAGAGGATTAAAAATAATCAAGTCTGGATCACACAACTGACATCATTAGCATCAATCCACACAATTGGGATACGATGACAAGCACTCAACCAAGTCACTGACTACCCGATCCATTTAGTTGCCTTGATGTGAAAAGCATGGTTTGCTGGGTATCTTGAGTATAGTGCGCACCCATGTATAATGCGCACCCCCTTCTAGCGGATTCAATATTTTGGGAAAAAAGAAATTTGAATATTATGCGCAGAAAAAAGATTACACCGTACCCCTTCAGCGAAGTCTGGCAAATGAACGGGTGATGAGAAACCTTGTCAGTACAAAATGTTCGAAATTTGAGATAAAAATCACTGACATGTTGATTTACCGTTTAAATTGTATTTTTGGTTCAGCTAGGCATTGTTTTATATCCAGGGATTAAGATTACCTTGTGTATTTTCTTGTAAACTAAGCCGGACACAGCAATCAGCTGTACACACGTTTTCTTGGAATCTACCAGTGATTCGGTCAAGACCCAATGATATGACTTTACAGTATATTAATGCAAGGATTGGCAAAAGTTGTATCTGAAACTATTTTTTTATCAGGAATAATTTATTCCAATATCTTGTTAATTTAGATGCAGCTTTTACTTAACATATTTAAAATAATAATAACTCTAAGCGAAGCAGTTGATCGCTATTGCCGGGTATTATTTTTACATGGAACCAGTCTGGCCATTCACCGTCAAGGCTCCCGTGCACGTAATCGCGAGAATTACGTGTTGACATAGAATCGTCCAACAAAAACAAATATGACTTTGAATGATTTAAACTATGGCATTAATGATATATGTATCCATTCTCTGTCAATTAAATTTCGTTTCAAGGCTTCAATAGTGGTAGTCTGACCGTGGTTGCTGTTAATAACGGTGAGTTGTGCGATCTTCTGATCGCTTCACACACGATTTCGCCGAAATTAATTAAGACAACATTAAAAGCAATTTTGAATAAAATTAATGAAATAAGTTACAAACATAAGTCCAGATATACAAAGAACACTTTTTATAGCCAGACAGTGTAACTACATGAATAATTTGCGTACTTCAGTATGGATTTGGTCACATTGTATTTCTGGTGTTACGTGCTCACGGTAATGTCTTTCCATGGGGGGGAAAAAACATCAAAACTGATTCATTCGTGTATAATGCGCTCCCCCTTCTACACAGCTGTGTTTTTGGAAAAAAAAGTGTGCACTATACTCAAGAAAATACGGTATTTATATTAAAATGAACATATAATCATAAAAAGATAACACTATACATAACAATACAAAAAAGAAATAGGCCTTAGATCACCAGCAGCCAAAGTTAGGTCACCACACTAGGGACCCCTACATGTCGACTAATCCTGGTAATCCACATGGGGAAATAGTTTTGGAGGTCTATCCAAAAGCTTTGATCAGATACATAAGACTTAAGTCGTAGCATTGCATTTACTTTGTACAACAGGATACATTATCATGCTTTAAAATTAGTAAAATCTAAATATTTTTTACATTTGTATACTTATCCTGCATTACTCCTTAATGCATTCACTGCTTACTTACGACAACTAGAAGGACAGCGCTGCGAAGGTCCTGGGTGAAGAAATAAAGTTGTTGTTCTCAAGTCCCAATCAGTGGCCTTCCGTCGCTGTCCTGTGACCTTGATGACACCTAAGGTCATCTTCACATCACTGCCTGTCGCCCAAGCTCTTAGAAAAACATACTTTTGAGGTTTCTGAAGCCAAAGTGGGGAGGCAAGTCTAACGACGGGTGGGCCTTAAGCGTAGTAATGCAGGATAAGTATACAAATGTAAAAAATATTTAGATTTTACTAAATTTTTTACTTATCCTGCATTACTCCTTAATGCATCTGTATCGGACGGTTTGGAGGTGGGTCAACCTTCAGAATACAGAAACCTCAATAATTCACACCCTGCAATACGACCCCATTTGGTCGATAAACCGTGAAGCGGAAAAGTTCAGACAAAAACGCCATTACGGTAGGGTTGTTCAAAAATCAAAAACATTGAACATAGGAATTAAAGAGAAATTCCCTATACACGCTTAGTAATAAAGAAAATAATAGCTATTCAGCTAATTCTTTACTTACTGCGTCATAGAGCCGTCGCTGACAAACAAGATTGTCTAATATTCTTCCACTGGTGGCGACTGAGTGACTGCACATGGAAGTTGACTGGCTCTGTATAGGGCGAGTTCATTATTTGCGTCAGTGGTTGGCAATCTGCAGGATAACAACCAGAGGGCCAAACTTCGAACGTCTTTGACATCCTCGAGAGTCACAACGCGAAGGTTATGACTAACGAAAATATGTGTCGAATCTCCAGAAATATCCTTCCGTGATTGTTCCAAAACCACAATTGCCGTGTTGAGCCCTGGTAAGGCTGACACCTTGAGATCTTGAGGGTAATTCGCTCTCGGCGAGTTCCGTTTGATGATCTCGTAGGCCTGAAGGATTACTGCGCGTAACCATATAGATATGGTGTTTGCGATTATGCGACTAACTTCTGTCGTGGACGAACCACGCCTTGTCTTGGAGCGTCGAATGAAAACTCGAACTGCTCGCACCGAGCCCAGGAGAACTTCACCATGTACGATTCCCACAATAGTCGATATCGGTGGGATGGTGAAGAACGGTCGGGTTGGCCTGGTAGTAGATTTTAGCAATAAAATCCCAGCATAACCCTAGATGTCCTGTTCCGTGCGTCCCATGCTCAAAACGGATCCGGGTTGAGTCGACCACATGTAGTTCGCTCACCCGTACCGCCATTGCTAATGCCAAGAGAAAACCATTGTTTCCTTGGTGAGGTCCAAGCTCCTCACAGCGATAGCCCGTTCGCGGAGCTCTCTATACTATACCGAGAGTGTAACGAAGGTGTCACGCGCTGGGAAGGAGCTTGAAAATGAGGATGCAATGAGGGGCTCGAAGGGGGCCCTCGCAAACCTCGAAGTACCACGTTCAAGTCCCAATCAGGTGGCTGGAACTTGGCCTTCTGATCCTCAAACCTGAATGAGCATAATATGGCCTGTAGTTCCGTGACCTTAATCACACTGTGATTTTCCGGAAACGGCCAACACTAAGATAACTGCAGCCAATTACGTAGTAATGGTGCTACCTTCCAAGTGTTTTTGGGTACGCAATGTAGGAGGTATTCCTCTAGGAATTGTGACGCAATCGTAGGGTCTTGATTCTTTTCTTCCCTGTTAAAAGTCTCAAGTGATCCCCACTTGTCATCGTCGTCTCTGGGAGAGTAACGATGAACTAAAGCTATAGCTTTGCTGCCCGTGTCGAAATAACCCTTCGCACTTAAACGCCTTTTAAAGACGAACCATGCGTGCAGACGTTGGGTGAGGCAATTTTCTGTTGAGGGTGGATGAGTAGGTTGGACCACTGTGAGAGGGGAAGTGAATCGTTTTAGATTTTTCCGAGCTTGACGAACTACCCTCTCGCCGGTTACCATGGTGCGACCAAAGGAGATATCGAGATACCTTGTCTCCTTGATCCCCTGTAGCACCTTGGAAGTAAAAGTGGTGGCAGAAGAGTTTTAGTTCTTTGCCCTTCCCAAGTGATACTGAACTCGTCCACCGCCCAAGTCTGCGGATCCGGCAACGGGGAGATATACGTCATGAGTTGGTGGCCTAGGCAAGTAATAAACAAGTCAATGTTTGGTTGCCTGAATTCCTGAAGCAGTAACTGGAATGCTTCTGTGAGAAATTTCCACTCAGTGGGAGCCACCCTGTCTGGACGTGATAAAGTATCGGCCAGTATGTTTCTACATCCGGGGATGTGCTGAACTATGAACCTTAGTCACAGCCGATCCACTAGATGGAAGAAATCTGAATATCCTTAGAAGTGGAGAATGGGAGTGTGTTGTTCCCCGATTGCACAGGCACCACACCGCAGTGCTGTTGTCTGTGGATATAGCGAGTCGGGCTAACTGTAGTTGATTCTGCCAATGTGATATAGCCAGAATTAAAGCTTCCAACTCCAAGTTGTTTATGTGCCACTTCCATTGTGCGCCGGGCCATAGCCCTGAGCTTATCTGGTCTTGTAAGTGAAGACTCCACCCCTGAAAAGGGACGTCCACAAACAGGTGTGTATTCGGGGAAAATCCGAATAAACAGACTCCGCAGACATTCAGCGCCACAAATTGAGGCTCTAGCTTAGTTGGTAGAGTGATGGCCTTGAGTGGATCCTGACTCCTGATGTAAGGGTTCAGGAAAAAAATTGAATTGGTCGCTGTTGTAAGCGGCCCATGCTAGTTAACTCCTGTGCCGAGGTGATTAACCCTAGCAACACTTGCCACTGGCGAAGTGTGTGTGGTTGGTGTAGAGTAGATGACAAAAGAAGTAGAAACTTGTGCCATCTGTCCCTCGGTACAGATAGGATATCCTGGTCTGTCTTAAACAGGTCTCCTATGAACTGAAGTCAATAGGAAGGAGAATACTCCCGACTTCGCCTCGTTGATTGTCTATCCCAGTTATTGACATGTGTTGATGATACAGTAGATCGCCCTCCATCTACG